ATCAAACTTCATACCACTAACCGACGGGAGGACGCGGTCACGTGACGAAGTTTACCGTGCAGCGTGTGCGCTTCCGCGGACAAGCAGCTGCGCCCTCTAGCGGAGAGAGGAACACCTCAACGGCACAGGGAGAACAGCGTTCAACAAAACAGTCTAAGCGGCTGGACATGAGTAAACTTGGAGGCGTTTCAGTGTTCAGGGCCTTCTCACAGGGTTTCTTCAGTTCAAGTGGAGGAAACGTCTGCACGATTATAATAGGAGTCCAGCTGCCTTGACATAAAACTTCCAATTCAGTGACCCGAATGACAAAAACATTAAGAGCTCCGTCAGAGTTTAGTGTTGCAGCTCTTCACCTTACTCACCTCATCAGCTCATTTAACAGGCCCTTCTTGAGATTGTAATAAGGGAGTTAGAGCTGGAGAACCACTAAAATGTCTAAGGGGGTTATGTTAGCCCAAAAACTTAAAGGGGCATTCTGGTTAAAACTAGCATTTAAAATGTTATTTGTCATGTTATGTAATATCTATCTTAGCTAAGGAAAAAAGTCATGGTCTCTAACCCAGAAAATATAACTCTTAGGACTATTATGGCACCACTGTAGGAGGAGAGTAGGCATGTTTACAGCAGATGTACAGTAGAGTGACATTTTAAGGCCATAAGTGTGTAAAATAGAAAAGCTAAGAGACATTCTTAACTGGGTAACTGTTAGTCCGTATTTGACCTCTACTAAGAAATTGTGCTGTGTAAAATAAACCCAGGGGCAAGGCTGGGAAATTTTGTTCCAAAAATAATAATAGCTTCCTTTATTTATTACCCACTACTATTAATATGACTGAATGCCAACCCAGCCTTGCTGTAGATAGCTTTCTTTTAGGGTTACTTCTGTATTTTTCATCTAAAGTCTCGTGAGAAGTTTTACTTTCTGTCTGGAAGTACATTTTCAATCACATTGTCACTTTGCTGAAATGAATAACCTCACTTATAAAGAAATATTTTAGTCACCTTGAACAACAAAATGGCCCATATTTAGGTGCCCAATCCCTTAAAGCTAAACTTAAAAGAGCATTCCAGCCTAGAACTAATGTGTTATTTGCCATGTTATATAGCGGTCTGTAGCACAGCATTGCCCCCCTCAGCCTCATCGATGTTACAGAATTCACGCTTTCTTTTAATAGTGTTCTCTCACTACAGTTTTCTGTATGCATTATGCAAATACGCCATAGAACCAGTGGTGATCTCTGTAGTATCTGCTAGCCTAGCCTCTGAGCTATAGGTTAATGATGCAACCAAGCTAGCATTCGTGTAACTCCTACCTTAGTCGTGGAAACAAACTCATAAAGAAATTCTGTCTTTATTCAATACAAAATGGACGCCAGATACAAGTTGTTACCCATTTAGACACAGAATCAAGATAGCCAATTAGCTGCCTTGCTAATTGCGGTCTTTAGTTTGTTGTCCTCCACAACCAATGAGTCAATTTTGTCGTGTGGAGTAATGCAGTCTCATCTATGATTATCTGAAGACATAAATCAAGCCAAAGGGTCTTCCCACCTTCAAGATACATCATAAGTGGGTTTCACTAGTCTTTAAACTGAAAAATCTTACCCTAAAGACCACTGTGGCACCAATTTGGGATGCAAGTAAATGTGTTTACAAAAGATGTAGCTACGGTTAAATTCTACTTTTTTGGACAGAGTGTCTCTTCAACACACATACACACAAATACTACTACTATACACTTCTAATAGTTCTGCTGTACTATAAGTACATACTACTATACACTTCTAATATATAGTTCTAATAATATTTAGAGCACACATACGATCGAAGACATCTGAATGTTGTTTAATTGCTTTTTCTTTAATCAAAACTGCAGCACGGCAAGTGTTCATATTATTCCACTTCAACATGCATGAAAAAGTAAATACATTTATATAGTACACATATATACAGTAAGAGGATAAAGTTTAAAATTAATCAGTCCAACCGGGAGTGCGTTCTTACCCATAACAGAATTAAAAGCACAAAAAACCCTTTCTTTTCAATGTTTATAACTCTCTAACTAAATACTGTATAAACCACCGTCGTTCATGATACTAATGATATCAGAGGGATTATATTCAAATTAACTCTCATTAACTAATTCCTGAATAAATTAATGGTATTAAACATTGAAATTACGGAGCAAGTCCAGAAAGGACACATTTCAAATTTCTTGCAGCCAACATCAGTAGAGGAGGGGGAAAAAAAGAAGTAACATAAAACACAAATCTCTCTTAAGGCATTCTCACTATTCTTCAAAAATGAAAACATCTTCCAAAAGATTACATGATTAATGATAAGAGACAAACAAAGAAGGCCTAAATTAAAGAAAGAATGTTCTAAGCATGTTCTACATTTCAGTATTAAAAAAAGGGTTAAAGAAGCCTTTATTATGACAGATATTTGTGTAGTCCTTGCTGCACAAAATGAAGAACAAATCTAAAAAAAAAGTGCCAATAACAATAAATCGCTAATATGAAAGTCTCCCTCTCCTCCCCTTTTTTTCATATTCCCATTTTCCTGGATTTGCTAGCTGAATACAGTGCCAGCACAGAATACAACGCAGCGCTACAGTCACCATTGGGACAGTAGATGTGAGATATGTGTCGAGTGGCGAGCAATGCTTTAGCCCTAACTTCTACACAAACGTGTGCACAATAAAACCATATATGCACATCATCAACCCATCAATGTTGTCATCGGATGCGCGGTGTGATCAAGACACACCCAGCAGCTTTATAACAACAAACGATCAAAAAGATATAAAATTGATAAACCTTTATCACATTTTTAGTGCATTTAGACATGCCCTTATATTTTGGACTGATACCTTATTTTGCAGCATTGCACTCTGCAAAGAGAAACGCATAACAGAGGAAAATTCAAGTGACATACAAATATCATCATCATTATTGCCTGATCAAACATATGCAGTAAAAATAAAGGGTACTGGTTATGTCTCTCAGTATGATGAACTATTCAAACAGCATCATCTGGTAAATGTAAAGTTTCCCAAAGTCTCTCAGTATTGTGGCGTAGGAACACTCTACCGGAGCTAGGTGGCAGTAAAAACAACCCGACGTAATCCTGTTACGCTCTCACTGCGGGTTAAACCATTTTCAAAGGCATAGGTAACTGAATTTCCTCATACCTCTTCATACAAATATAAAGCTTAGAACTTTTCCTGATTGATTTCTATATTTGGCATGCAGCCAGCAAAGTCTCGGACCTCTATGGACAACCCAAAAAAGAAAGAAAGGCCAAAAAACTGCCTAAAGAACCTGGCCAGGACATCAGAGGCACTCCTGTGAGTCTTAAGGCAGAATCTGTTTTGTTTCTTTCATCAAACACCACTGCAGCGTGTGGATTCAAATGCATGTGTACATGTGGGACAGTGTGCATAAATAAAGACATATAAGTATAATTCTGGAGACCCAAATTTCAACAAATCATTGCATACTTGACTGAAAAGGGGCACACAGGGGCAAAGATGCATTTTTTTTTGGTTGTTTTTTTGTTTTGTTTTAAAAAACAAGGTTTACATGGCTTTTAGTATAATCGCAAGTGGTAGCTCAGAAACAGCAGCAGGGGAAGGTTTCATCCCATTATTTAAAAAAATAAAATAACAAAATAAAATTATATAAACAGGAAGAACAGAGGAAAGTCTGGACTCTTTAGAGACTCAGTCCCAAATACATCCTTACAGTAGAGCTAATAATGGACTTCACAGGGGAAAAAAAATAAAAATAAAATAAAACAAAACAAAAACAAACAAAAAAATGGCCAGTCATGATGGTGGCACCAGAACATGTATGATGACGTAGCGCATGAACTAGAATCTATCAGAATCCTACTGGTATTGGCAAATGCTTTAATTTAACAGATATTTCAAACTGATATTTGCATAACATTCATATGTGAAAGTTTGAACACCCCCAATTAAATTACACATCTTGTTGATTTTCTACGTGAAAATGAGTTAATATCCTCTACACGGAACAAACATCCGTATGACAATTTTCTGCAAATTTGAGTGCACAATTTCTATTGTTTGTATTTTTAGTTTAACATAAACAATGGAAAAATAAAACCGAACATATAAAATGTGCTGTAACTTTTGCACCAGCCACATTTTATTTATATTTAATTTTTTTCTCCAATACGTTAAATTCAGCAAATAATTTTCCTTTTGAAACCCAACAAAACGTTTAATTTGACCAGAGGCATCAAACTTTTGCACATGATTGCATTTTAACAAACTCCAGAAGAGCACCATGTTCAGGCAACGCAGGGCTGGTGCGCATTTTATTCATTTTAAGCATTTGTAACTCTACAAAAATAAATGTCATATTTCTCAGGTAGATTTAGTCCCAATTTCTATATTTTGCAACTGTTTACGTGTCGTAATCAGCAGATATGTACATGAAAAATACTGGATACGGTCATCAGCCCACAGTTCCCATATTGGTGCATCCCTAAAAAGATTTCAGTTACCACTGCTAGGTGACCATGAGCCAATTTATAATTTGACGGTTTGTCACACAAGGCTTTAAGAAGAAAAACAAGACCATGATCAAACAATGACTCGGTACAGCTCACACTGGAGGATGTACCAAAGAAACAGCAAATAGCACATATAACATAGCAAAGAGCAAAGAAAAAGGTTTTGCATGCCAACATTAGTGTATCAGTCCTTTAGAATGACAAACTGCTATACTTGGATGTACATTCCTGTACACATACAGACTCGCTCACGCACACGCACATACCTAAGGACATGCACTCACTGATTACAAACGTTTTGTATAAAAAACAAACATACTATAAAGGGTTAGAAATGAGGTCAGATCTTTGTGAAGTTCAGGTGAGGCATTCTCTTGGTCTCCATGAAATGAAAACTGTTCTAAAATGTTAGGGACCAGATTTAAAGCAAATTCAACACACAAAGATTTTTTAAAAAAATCTTTTTTCCTCTCATACAAACCAGATATGAAAAAGTAATGCAAGGTTGTGGTGCCAATCACTAGACACAGCCTCATTTTAGTGAGTAAAATGTGGAGCACAGCAAGTGTGGACATGCACACCACCAGGTGCACTGTGGCAGTATTTTCATTTCAATGACAGCCACAAACGAGACCTCCATGTTGCTATGTGAATCTGTATGGCGTGGTAAATATGTGCATATGATCTACGCAAAAGGTAGGGCAGCCGCGATGACGACCCATTAGGAAGCGCTTTGCTGTCTTACAGTCCACTGAAGGTTGAGGAGTTTGGAGATGGAAGGCAGAAGATGATAAAAGAGGGAGCGTGGGCTTCGTAGGGGTTTAGAATGAGGATAAAGATGCGGGTTGGAGTCCAGCCCCTGTAGTCTATGGCATAGTGAACAGGAAGCTTCTTGCTTTCTCCCAAAAGTCAAAGTTTATTCCCAGAATTCAGCTGAGCTCCAGGCCAGAGCATTATGGCGTGAGAGAAGGCCAGGGAGAGGAGAAAGAGGGTGCATTTTTTGCTTTCTTTTTCACCTCAATCCTTCGTTCCTCACCTTCCTCTTCTCCTCTCCCGGCGCAGGGCAAGGCGAGTCCTGGGCTGCTGTGGGCTCATCATCTGGCCGAAGGCTGGGGCTGTGTGGCCATGATGACGTGAGAAGGCCCGCTCTCGCCCCGCTGACTGCCCATGCCGGCCAGCACAGACATGGCCACGGCTTCGGCGGCTGCCCGCGAGCTCAAGCCGTTGGGCCCCGAGGAGGCCGAAGGGCTGGGGGCCAGCGAGCTGTGCTGGATGACCGGAGCAGGGGAGCCAGTAGGCTCTGAAACCTCCTTCATAGACTCCTCTCCTGAACAACACAACAGGCAGGGTTCAGTGAAATACAGACTCTAAACACATCTGTTACAAGTTCAAGGCCAGAGCACACTGACCCAACAAACACCAACATTCCAGTGCTGACAGTTCTAGAATATAGAGAAGAGAACTAATAAACCAAATGAACCAGTGTGAATGGGAGAGAACGCTGTGTTTGGAATGGTTTACTCATTAACTCATTCTCTACAATTGTGTTTACAATACTGCAACTGCAAACAGACTGGAGAATGACACACTCAAAGAATCTGAACAACAGTACAAAATGCTTGACACCCTATGGCTGTTAGTGAAATTAATCCCTATTTTCCTTCACTGAAATTGCACTATATAGAAAAATTATTTCATTTACTAAAAAGCAGTAAAAATGCATGATTCAATAAATGAATTTGGACACTTTCTCATCATCACACTATGTCCATATACCAGTTGTATAAAGAAGCCAACATAAGTTGTTTGCCCGGTTGGCAGGTTAGCTTCTTATTCTTGTAACCATGAGCATTACATTTTGAAAAGCGTAGGGGACAAGGAGAAAGTAAAAAAGCTCAACTAGAGTACACATAATTCTTGGTCCATGACTGCAGTAACCTAAAGTTGCACTAGAGTCTTTGTCTTTAACTGGACATAGCTGCTGTATTTCTCCAGAGTTGAGGAAGTCTGATAAATTTTCATTTTCAGTGGCACAACTGCAACTGTTAACGTAACACTCCTCTGTTTACTGCTTAGTAAAAAGATACTCACAAGGGGTGTGTGGGTATATATTGTACTGTTATAGTGATCTATGGTGTTTATGAGTGCTTTGTAGGAGATACTGCTCTCAAAATCTCTCTGGAATTCCACTTTTGTATTACGACAGTAAAAGAAAAATTGGGTAATGTTCTCAATAGTGCCATAAACACAAATAAGGATCCATTTCAGTCACTGTTTACACAGTGTATTATTTTGGGAAGCGAAAATTCTAGAACACTGTGAATGGGGAGAACATTCTAGAACGGCATATAGGGGGGTGTTCTAGAACTTCGTAAATATGGGAGAGCATTCTAGAACAGTGTGAACAGGGGTGAGCATTCTAGAACAGTGCAAATAGGGGGAGGTGCATTCTAGAGCCCCAAAGATAGACCATTTTCACACTTGCGCATTGCTCAGTTCAAAGATACAATACATACTACTTCACTGGCATAAGTAACATCCTGGAAATGACCACTTAAGTTTGCTTAAAAACCTTCAGAAGTAGTTTATTTTAATGTAAATACAAAAAAGATGGTACTCCAAAGGTTCTTTAGTAAAAAAAAATGGTTCTGGAACCATGAACACTCAAAGAACACTTTGCATGATTAATGTGTTCTTTGCATTGTGAAAGGATTCTTCAGATTTACGGAGAATGTGCTGTAGATGGTTCTATATAGAACCTTTTTGAATTGGGTTCTATTAAACACGGAAAAAGGTTCTTCTATTGTTACAAGCTTGACATCATAACAATAGAAGAACCCTGTTTGGTGTTATATGGTACCCTTTTTAAAAAAGGTTCTATATAGAACCATCTACAGCACATTCTCTGTCAATCTGAAGAACCCCTTCATGATGCAAAGAATCCTTTAATCATGCAGAGGGTTCTTTGAATACTCATGGTTCTAGACATAACTTCTTTACTAAAGAAGCCTTGATGAACTATCATTTTTAGGAGTGAAAGTCGATATTGTGTCTTTTTGCTGGGTGTGCTGTTTAAGACACTCACCATCATTGCTAATGTCCACATGGGCTGAGTAGGAAGAATTAAACCTAGTGGATTTTTCCGCCTCCAACATGAAGCACAACAAGTGCTAGTTTCTTTAGTGTTTCCGTTTAGGGATGTGTGATGGACATAAAGATCTGCTCTATTTCTTTTTTACTTCGCAAAACTCATCACAGGCGTATTCCTCACGGTTCAGACGCAGATTTTTTGCGATCACACTGAACATGTAAAATGGGCTTTCAAACGCATTGAACTGCTTTAAAATTGTGCTTTGGCCACATCAAACTAGTTATTCGTCTATGTTTGAGGGAACTCCCAGACATGGCAACTGCTCTCCTATTAGCTGCACTGAGGCTGAAGGAGGATTTTTAAGGGAGGCTGAAAACCAGCAACCCTCCATTGCCGCTCTGGTAAACGGAGCAGGCGGAAGTTCGTTAACTATACTAATTATAGCTGGACGTGACGATGCAGTTATTGTGAGGAAGGTCTATCACAAACATGTGTGGAACAGAAACTACACATTTGTGTGTGTTGGTGTCTGTTAGGTCAGAGTGCTCTTGCCTTCAGCCTACTTCAGTGATACTGGTTACAGAGTCTAACATTTTATGAACAAACCAGGTCAATTTCTCACTCAGAATAAGTCAAACATCACAATCAGCTGATAATCCTTTCAAAAAGGTGGACTACCAATTAATAGATTAAAACGCTTTAATCTTACCTCTCCATTAAAATATGTACACAACGCCACTGAAAATTCTAGAATCATCTGTTACGTTATTAATAAAAATCTATACCAGGCGAATTTGAATGACAAATTAGATGCTAAAAAGAGCTTTAGATGTTTTATTCAATAAAAGTATTACTGGGGATAAAAAGTAATTTAGTGACAAATAATATACTGTAATCTACTTAATGTAATCTACCAAATCAATATTTTTGTCAACTTATCTGTTTGGGCAAAATACCTAGGTACTGAAAAAAAAAGTATTCATCCATCAAAAAGTAGTGATGGCTGAATACTGAATACACTGTCCTAAATGTATTCAGTTACATATTCCATTACAGTACATAAAAAGTAACATATTCAGAATATATTTAAAATACATCTTGGTAAGGCACATGGTCTCATTCATACATACATATATATATATATACATACATACATACATACATACATACATATATACATACATATACATATATATACATACATATATATATACATACATACATATATATACACATACATATATACACATATATATATACACATATACCAGTTTTTTTTCCTCTCTCACTGCCTGCTTCAGTTCACTGCTGCTCCCACAGTCCATCAGTACAACAACACTGCTAAACTTATCACTGGCAGAGATATCCACTACTGAAATTTAGTTTGATCTCAAATGAGCTCAGAAACACAGAAATTAATAAGTGATCACATCGATTTATCAGTCTACTCAGGCTTTAGCAAAGCTCAGTAATACTGACATTAATAACTGATCACCTTGATTTATTAGTCTACTCAGTCTTTAGTAGGCCATAAAGACCATCTTTAGAATCTGACTAACAAGCATGTTGACTACATGCCATGCACTGATTCTAAATAAAGTTAATAAACAAGCAATTATAGTCTTTCTTTGAAGATTGTATGTTTTTTTATTTAGTAGGCATTCTGAAAGTATTCTCCTAAAAAAAATACATTTACATTTTAAAAAGTAAATGTATTCTGAATACTGCCTTTTCAATATGTAACTTGGACTGAATACAGATACTTAATTTCTATATTCTGAATATTCCGTTACATCTCAACTCTGTTGACATTTGATCACCACTTTGGAAATCTGAGACATTTTAGATGCTGTTCAGGTCATGGAATCATCTTCAGCTGTGTTTGTCAATTGGACAAATCTAAAATGTATATAATTAGTATATAAAATCTGTTTCCAAACTTTTGAATGGTAGTGTAGATATGCATTCTATCAGCACATCATATCAGCATTATCACACGTAAACATTACAAGAATGCCAGTCCACAAATAAACATTTGTCATGTTCCATATGGAATCCTTCAGCATGTGTTTATGTACATACATGCACAGCTCAAAAATCCTGTATACACCCACTCTTATAAGTTATGATTTACAGATCTCCTCACGGTCTTACTCACCCAGGTATGCAGCCTTCTTCTGTAGAGTGGTGACAGGGCAGTCCTTATGGGCCAGCAGCAGCTGCTTCAGATGAGCAACCTCATTTCGTAAGAGAGACACCTCATTCTGACAAATGCAAACACAAATACAGAGAGAAGTATAAGTGTTTCAATAGTCTAACAAAGAAACATGGTAACAGACAAGAACAACTCATTCAACTTATTGCTCATTTGAACACAGAAAAAAGCAGAGACTGTAGTTCGTATTTTCAGATGTCGTCTTCAGTGAGTCAGATAAACCACTACATTACATCACTGTCTCAGGCTTTGAAGGAGACGAGTGCCTGAGGCGTGTAAGAGAGACATGCCTGGTGTACTCACCGTGAGGGAAACATTCATGGAGGTCAGCTCCTCGGCCTTCTTCTCCAGAGAACTGACCCATAGCTTGCGTTTCTGCCTGCAGCGAGAGGCGGCTGCTCGGTTGCGCTCCAAAAAGCGCTGCCTCCTCTCGTCTGGGTCTTCCTCTGCAGTCCGCCGCCGCCTGCCACCTGTGGGCTGGGCTGGAGAAACCTGGACACAGCAGGCCTTGTGATTACCCCTTGACAAGATCCCGTTTAGCGAACAACCCACTAGTACTGCATTTCGAATTGTCCTTATCCTGCAGTTAAAATGCAGTGAAAGTGTATCCCTAATGTGTGTAATGAGTGTAAACTGCATGTAATAATGTTATAATTATAACTACAATTATCATTTGTATTATTAGTCATTTGTATTCTAGGGCTGGCCAGAACAGCATTTTACAGGCTTCGAATACTCTGTGTTTCTGAACAAGCGCTCAAATAGTTGTTTAGTGGCTAACTGAGTATGAATTGTTTCACATATGTGCGTTTTTTTTTGTTTTTTGTTTTTTTTAAACAATGGCTGTCCAGATTTATCTTGCTTTAGTTTTTCAAATAAAATGGGTAACTTGTGAAATCATAGGGGTCAGTGTGGCTGTGTTCAGTCTTTTGGTAAAATTACCAGGCTATGACATTTTATATACTATCAGCATGTCTATCTAGGAATATTTTGATTAGATTTTGTCTTTTGAACACACACAAAATAGCTTTTTAATGAAACAGTTTCTACAGGCTCAGCCTCGGCATAAAAATACTAAATAAAAAAAAAAAAACATTGGGTCTTGTTTCCGATGCATCTGGTGCAAAAGGTCATTGAAACCCCACTATTAAAATGGATGCAAAATTAGGCCTGGTGGAGTTAATATGAGGCTATTATACCTTGTAGAAGTGTCCTGTATTAAAATAGAATGCACAAGTTAAATATTCCAGTGGTATTAAGTCTCTTAATATCTTGTGCCAACCATTCACAGCTGGAATCGTCTCAGTAATCCATTGTAATAAAATATTCTTCCTTGCTGTACTTATAGTAAGTATACTGTACAAACTTCTTTCATTGAATGAAGTTACTTTCCTACTGGGAATACCCAGAACCAAGCATGACGGATCTAAATCAACTTTAATATCAAAGATACTCCCAATTTCTTGCCCTATCTTAGCCCAATATTCCTGTACCTTACAACATGAACAAAAACAGTGGGTAAGAGAACTAGTCCGAGTTTTATACTTAAGACAAAGTGGTGAGGCTGAACTGTTAAAAGCATGCCTCTAACCGGGTGAAATATGCATCTGATGTATGATTCCGATCTGAATTGCTTTTATATGATTACATACAGATATGGACTTGGCGTATTTCCAGATAACCTCCCAGTCATCATCACTTATAGTTACACATAGTTCCCTCTCGCATACATTCTTAAGCTTACATGTATAAATAGCTGGCTTAATTTTCAACACATCTTAGAATAGACTCACCGATACTTTTCCAAAGGGGTGAAATAAAAGTCTTTCTTTAGGGGATTTATCAAAAGTGTTGGTCAATGAAGAGTTCTTGATAATGTAATTCAGAATTTGTAAAAATCTAAAAAAGTCTTGCTTTGATAAATGGTGCTGGTGTGTCAGCTGTTCAAAAGACATTAAATCCCCATCTTAAGAAAGATCTGTTAACCTTTTGATGCCTTTGGCTGACCAGATTCAAAAGCCTACATCGGAACTACCTGGCATGAAGCTAGAATTATTAACAATTGTTTTCAGAACAGAAGTCAATCCACAAACAAGAGTTTTGCTTGAGTCTCTAAACCTTCAAGATGTCTATAAAGAAGATTCAGCAGAGCAACAGCAGCCTCATCTACCCCCCTACCAGATCTGTATGCAAACTGCATCAGGTCCAAATGCTCCTCAACTAGGCCCACTAGTTCCTTTTTAATGAGCGTCTTATATGTCTTCATTACTAATGATGTTAGGGCTTCAGGGCGAAAATCATTCGGCTCCTTAGGTGGTTTATATTTAGCCACAGGAAGAATAACAGACCTTTTCCAAAAAGCAAGGATTTGTCCCTGCTCCACCGACTTTGCTTTCTAAAGTTCTAATGTAACTTCTCTCTTTACATCCCGTTTCCCTGTCTCTGTTCCACTGTGATGTATTTCATGTCTTGCATAGTTTGAAGTAAGTTCGGGTCTCCTTCTGGGTCTCCTTGTGAAGACAAGCATTTATTTTAAACAAATTGAGCAACTGTGCTAATTAACACCTGAAGGTACCAAAACCCCAGTTCAGGTTAGATTCCAGTTATAACAGAAGTGTTTACTAAGTTTTGGTTTACACATTGCTAAAACAAAACGGGTTGCACCACACAAAAGAGCTTTTAGGATGAGCTTAGTAATTACTAAATATTTACACTAAAGCAGGGGTAAGTTTTAGTGAAACCAACAGGAACCAGACACAGGTCCACAGACCTGCGTCTATATATATATATATTACACTGTTGTATAATACTTACCAAATAAACAAAACTGCCTATATGTATTCAATTTCAAATCAGTTCAAGTGTGAAAACATAAAACTTGTTCACAATGTTATCTTCTATACTGCCCATTTTTTTTTCCACAGAATGCAAAAAAGCCAGCACAAGCTGCCTTCCCCGTTTCCATGGCAGCGTTATGTATTGATTTGTTCTAGTCCTCTTGTCATCATTAGGTTAAAGTGATAATGTTTATGGTGCTTAGCACTTATCATTGTGTGCGCATTAGTTAGTTGTTACTGAAGACACGACTTATGGATTGGTAGTGCAACCAAATTTAGTATATGGATAGTTTTAAAACAAGTGTTAATTAAGAACTTAGTAAAGACTTTAAGCTTAAACCTAAGTACAAACTTAAGCAACACTGGTGCAACCCAGGCCAGATTATTGCATCCCAGTATCATTATCATCGTAGCTCTAATCCATTCTAGACCTCACATGTGCAGTAACACAATGGTGAATGTGTGTGTGTGTGTATCTGTGCACCTGTGGCTGTGCAGGGGATGGGGCATCAGGCTGCTGCACCAGTAGCTGGCTCTGCTCCATTCTCTGCGGCACCATGGCGCTGGAGCCCATTGCCACACCAATACAGCCCTGGGCTGCTGAGCTCTGCTGAGATAATGCTGCCTTTAGCCGCTGAAATAAAAACACAGTCAAAACAGGTCAGAGCTTAAGGAGGTTTATTAACCTGATGGAAAATCATAGCTGAGTGCACACATGTATTTTCCTTATTGATCTTTATGGGTTCCCTCTGCAATTTGCATTAGCAAAGGGAAATAGAGAAGTACATCTTATTTGTTGTACATCTTAATGCATATTTGAAGCTTTACTAAAGCAAGACACCAGGTTGGCCCTGGACGCAGGAGATTAGACTGCACTTTTCAAATTCAGGCAAACAGTGTCAGTCAGTGCTCGCCTGTTTGTTGTGAGAAGTGTCACCCATGTGAGATCCTCTCATGGCTGGACTAAAAATTTCAGAGCATGTTTGCTTGCCTCACAGACAAAGAGTCTGGGGTTGGAATGAAGACACAACATGTGGTTTCCTCACCATCTTGGCCTCAGAGTGGGGGTTATAACCAGATGGGGACGAGGACCCGCTACCGCTTCCCCCTAGTGGAGGGCCTGGGATTCCTGGAATGTTGGGCACCATACACATGGGCCTGGCGAGCTAGAAAGAAAACACAGGACAGATCACATATACAAGACATGAAGGTCTAATACCAACAGGCTCCGATGACTCTAACCAGAAGGGAGAGTAGGTTCGTTGGTGCTTACAGATATTACAGATGGCATTTGCACTGGGCCTGGGAGCACAGGAACTGCTTGGCCATTGGGAAGCATCATCACCGGGTATGGACCTGTGGGAGACCTTCAGATAGAGCAAATAGACAGCAGTTAAGTGCTTCACTTGCCTCAAACTCCAGGCCACAGTGTTGCCTGGATTTACATAACCGCTTTGCATACAGTGGAATTAACTCTCCTTCCTGAGGGATTGTCATTTTGCTCAGTGCAAATCACAGCCATTAAGTAAACAAGGTAGGAATTTAAATATAAATATGCAACATGCAAACTGGCCTGTAACAATTACTACATAATTGCCTGATCACAATTACTGAAGCTGACCACAATTATTTGCCAGCTTTCACAATATGTTCACATTGCAACAAACAGAATGTGAATGGAGTGTTTTTACACACCAAGTTGTGGCAAGAGCATATAAATATGAATCAGACAATGCATTTATTAAGACATGTCACAGATCTTAAGAAAACAACAATATATGACTGATGCTATAACATATTTAAAAAGGGCAGTGGTGAGTAATGTTTGTTTGTTTGAGCTTGACCTGTGTCTGTCTTCGGTTAAGAACTACTAGGTATCGACCACTAGGAAGTAAGGTAGCTAAGCAGCCAATTTGGCACAATAATAATCACATATAATGAAAAAATAACTGTTAATTGCAATTATCTATCTGGAAATTAATCATCAGATAAAACTGCAAGATTCTGACAGGCCTACTGCAAACATGTCCAACCGTATGCATAAGGCACTTCCATGAAGTCAAATGTATCTGGCATATTACAGAAAGGACTACTTCAAATTCATTCTTTCTTTTTAATATCCATTTAAAGCAAAGCACATACCGTAGCTAAAGCTAACACCACTAACCAACAGAGGCTTGTTTCAGAGACAAATCAGATCATATCCTACTCAAGTGTTAAAATTTCCTGTCATGTCCTTCCAGAAATCAAGGACTTTGGTACTGAGACCACTCCTTCACATATACATGTCAGTTGTTTCCCTGTACTTTCCGTGCCCAAGGCAGACATGTTTGTATTTGTCTGCATGATCTAGAATAACAACGTAATATTAAACATCACCTCCTGTCAAAACGGCTAAAAAGTGATGAGTCAATGACAATATGGACCGCTCAGTTTGAGCTGGCAACACATCATTGCCCAGACACACACTCAACGAAATAAGTATGAAATGGAAAACCTAAAGTGGAGACAGAATCAGGCTGTAAGAATGGAAGCCCATTAAGCATAAGTCATGCTTGAGAATGAAATTCTTATTTCATCTGACAGACTCCCTGACCAAACAGTCTTGAAATCCACAGCACAGTAAAGTAAATGAAACACTACCACACCAATGTAAAACAGTAAAATGAGTCACAGAAACCCAGCCGCCTATAGCAGGCTGATTTAAAAGTGGGGTCATCGATTTTGGCCACAGTTAGCTGGAGCGAGCTGTTACGAAATTCAACAGGCAAGAAAACATATTCCCTCCCTTCAGTGTTCTCTCTAAAGCCCCCTCCCCAAAGCACATGCACTTTTACTCAGTGAGCTGGACATCAACACTGGTGGACACTTACACAGCTAAACAGCTGGCCAACATCAGCTGACACTTTAGTCTGCTAGCTAAAATACTAGTTAGCCAAATGCAGAGGAAAATGTAAATCAGAACTTCTCTATTGTTGCTACTGGTATGTTTAATATTAACACTAGATTTGCATGAAATATCATGTGACCACATAACCTAAAGATAACTCCACTTCCTTTCATGGTTTTTATGTGATGGGAAACGGACACAGGTGCTCGACCAGGGCATGGATAGGTTCTGGGTTTAGATTTGTTTAGATAACAGTACTGTGCTGTGCCACAATGCCTGATTAAAAACAAGATTAGTTAGCTACCAAGCAATGTCAAACGCACAGTTTTGAAACAATTACCTGTCTAGCAGACATAGAGCAAGGTTTATAACACACTTTGACCTCTCCAGTGATGGAAAGCCAAATTCACATGTTCAATCGTCTTTGCTATTGATGGGTCATATGGGATAGTTGTTTTTATATCCAGAGTTAAAAACACATTTGTTTAGGTTAGCACATGCCTTGAGGCTTTCCTAATTGTGCTGTTATTTTCATTTAGAGTGTAGCGTTTTTAGATCTCCACTGTTTTACTTATGTCCCTGTGTAAAGTACTTTTTGGTTTTGTGACTAAAATGCCATATAATTAAAAACAGGCTAGGCAACAGCTCCCTGCAGTGTGCAGCAGATGCACAACATGACTGTAGACACGCCTGCTTGTCCTGATTGAATGATGGGTGGTCCACATCATTAGCTTTTTCGTGCATTTACAGAGCCTGGGGCAACCACAGAAACAGGATTTTTCTTCTGAGCATGATTTATGAACAGCTGCTGGAATGTGAGAAGAATTTATTTTTCAAATATTACAAAAAGTATTTACAAATCACTGACCCTACTTTTAGCGGCTTAATAAGCAAGCATTGGTGCTGGGACCTTACCCGAGAGTGCGGTTGGATGGTGGGGCCTGTGTGATGACTGAAGTGGGTGAAGGCATGGTGGGCTGCAAGGGGTCATAGCCCAGGTGCAGTGGAAGAGACCCCGGCCGTACAATGGTAGGTATTGGAGCTGAACTCACAGCTGGCTTTGAGGGAGAACACTGTAAAAGAAATGAACAAAAAGCAATGGTCTCTTCTCTCAATCTCTTTAGACTCCCCACACCTCATAGTATCAGTTTGGTACTCAGCCTGGCCCAAAGCTAAAGATGGAGAAGTTTCTACAACAACTACCAGGCATCCGTTATGTTCTACTCTCAGCTTCTTGTTACTCAAGTCTAATATATCTAGCACTAACAATATAAGCCAAAATTGGCACTACGCTGTGAACGTGTATTTATGGCTGTGCTCATCTGCGGCTCTGTGACCACATGACACAGACTTATAAACTGGTTTAGCCATAGCCAAGCCACGTAATTGCCTGTGCTTTAGCAGAATATCACATTCTCAACAGAAAATTCAGGAAAAACTGCCCCTCTGCTCATGCAGGCACATACCTGCGTCCTTTAGGATGAAATAGTATCATTTGTAATAGTCATTATCAGCATATTAGTCTTTGCAATGCATCTGCAAAAAGATCTCTCTAATCAAACAATGTTTTTTTTTTTACAGTGTGCTGCAAACATCTTGGCCAGTCACAGTTCCAGATGAGTATTTGTGTGGGTGGTTTGATAAATCAAGTTATTCAAAAAATTTCAACAATAGTAAATAATTTTGCTTAAAATAATGCAGGTCTCGTGTCACGCTTTTGAATCACAAATGTGTTTGTAATAAGACTGTGAAACGACTAAAGAAACTAATCATAATTAATTGCATCATTTTGTGTACTTAATTGCATCTGCTCAAAGATTTTTTTCTAGTCAGACAGCAGCAAGTGATTTCCACAGAGCGAACGCAGTTTCTAGTTTTCATTACTAATATCAATTAAGAGCAACAGTGGCTGCTTGGTCCAACCAATGACTGTATCAGATAGTCAAGGTTCTCCAGAGGCTCTCGAGGGAAACTGCAGCTTTCTATTTCGCTATTGTTTTTTTATTGATTCTTGTTGTTTTATTCACATGTCTCCCCCATGAAATGCATCAGACTCTACTAAAGGTACCAAAGATATCGCTTTAAAAGCTTTAAAATTTTAAAGCTGTATTTTCATACAAGGGACATAATCAAGGATTCTATCATAGCAACACACAGTGCACAAGCCAGTACTACTACAGATGATCTGAAGGGTCTAACTTGCATGCTTTAAAAAATGTATTACTAATTTATGTCATCAGCTAAGGCTGCAACTAATGATGGTTTCCATAATCAATCGACTCATTTTGGCTTCGATTAATCGGGAAAAGGAAAAGTGAGGCCAAAGTGCCTTCTGCATTTCTTTTTACTCATTGTGAAAGGTGCTGAAACAATAAAGCATAAGGCATGAACAAATCATACATGGCTTTCCAAGTACTCCTATGGAACTTGCTTGACTCTACAAGAAACTTGATATTAGTTAGCATACAGAAGCAGCCCGTTTATCAGCCATGTCAGACACGCAGGGCCATAAAGCATGTTCACCACTCGTCAAACAGCAATAACCACATATATAATGTTAATGTTTTCCAAAACATCTGCCTACATGAAACCACAAAAACTGAGATTTTAAAATATCCACGCTGGAGAGCATTTTGCAAACACTCTGTTTTGTATGTGTATGGATGAGCAGGTCTGTGTGCATTAACACACAAGCAATGAATAGACCTCAGTGTAATTTAGCTGTGCAGTTTAGACAAAAATGCAGCTCTTTCCTTTGGCCAACTATGTTTATTTTGCTAAACCAAAACAGAACTTGCTGAAAAGCAGACAATGACACATGGTTTTTAACTTCTAACTGCAGTTTTGCTGCGGTTTACTCATCATGTTGAGCCTTTGTTATTTTCTGCTGCAAATATGTCGACTATGTTTCTTTAGATCCTCAAGCATAAGTCATGCTACAATTAAAGGTGAGCTCAATTTTACACATTTTACAGGAATTCCTCTTTTTAGATGATGTTTAAGAGAAGAATTCCCATACTTTTGACTTACTGAGTTGTGCATAACCCTTAACTGTAGTCTCCGCCATCTGTGTTTTCCCTCTTTTAGTCAAGTGATAAAAATGGGGAGCACAAATATCAAGACAACTAATCGCTAACAAGATTTGTTTATTTGTTTAACTTTATCATTATTACACTTGTTAGTTGTTTCAGCCCTAGTATTAACAAATCATTAATGCATTAACTTTAATAGCCCAAGTTTGTAATTTATTGTAATGCATACTGCAGCAATATAATCACAGTACTAAGATTTTCTCCATATAGTGCAGTGATTTGTTATACCTTCCCCCTGATTGTGGGCTCCTTATTACTGTCGGATCTGCTGGAGATGGAATCTGGACTAGCAGGAGGAGATGAGTCCACCTCTACAGGCTCCTCCTCCTTCACTCTGACCACATCCAAGGGTGTCTGCAGAGTCATGTCCAGAGCTGAAGAGCCAGGGGCAGGCAGCTGTAGGAGAAAGACAGGGACAGAGGGAGAGAGAGATTGATAGCAGAAGTGAAGAGGGGGAAGGGAGAGGCGAGACAGTGTGAGACATGGGAGCAGATAGCAGTTTGCAGCCCATAAATCCCCCATTTTGGCCACAGGCTGCAGAGTTGCTCATGCTTGGAACAGCTCTGTCTGAGTGACTGAACCCCTCCACCCAGTCCCTCTGCTCACAGGGTTCTTGGCCCTCTTGTCATCATCTTCCTGGGCTTTGCGGAACTCCTGCTCAAAGGGCATGGCCAACTCGTTGAAGAGGCCCACTTCTTCACAGTTCTTCAGGAAACGAGTGGGAGTCGGCGTCTGGTCTGGAAAGGCGAGAGAAAAAGGGGTTACATTACTTAGAGAACATTAAAACAAAAAATTCCCTCTTTAGCTGCAAAACGAAAATGACCATGCATATTACACAACCTAGTCGAAGCAGCCAGGCTGATTCACTGTTGCTCACTATTCGAAAAATCCTCCGCAGACATTTACGTCATTGTAACTAGAATTACATGATGAGCCAGATAAGCTTATTCCTTGCTTTTAAAGTTGCACCATTTTTTTGGATAGAAAATGCAATGCAATCATAAATACAAACAGGAGCAGAGATCAAATCAATATGTTGTGATTGATAAAAGGCAGGGTATATGCTAAGGCTAAAAGTATGATAATATTGATAATATGATAGATAATATATAAAGATAATATGGCTTTAATCTATAAAGTGATGAAGCAAATTATTGAAATCACAGTTGTACTGAGTCTTGCATTGTATTCTGAAGGGGAATTCCACCGATTTTTCAAAGATTGTGCATAATTAAATCGTTAAGACGTAAACAAATTCATTCAGTGAGGTTTGATGTGTAATGCTCCACCCTAGAGAATTTTTTTTAGAAAATTGTTCACAGCAGTGGTGACAGGAACCAGACATCTAAACAGTGCAAAGCTACCTCACAGAAAGTTATTACATTAAATGGTTATGAATACTAGGTCTGATACCTGATACATTGTTGTGTTATAGTTCTGAGATCAAATATTTATTAAAAAAAAAAAATTACCACTATTTTACAATTAGTATTATTACATTGCTGCTGTTCAAACAAAACCTTGTACCTCCATTTTTCAGTGTTTGACATAATTTGAAAATGCTTGTTGTCCTTTACGTTGTGTGTAAATTTCAAGATGAATGGACCAAAAGAAATGGCTCAAAATGCCTTAAAAAAAAGCCTGGTTACATTGACTTACATTAAAAGTAAAGTATGTTTGTTTCCTTCTCCTGTAAAAATGTCATTTTGGAGATACAAAGTTCTGAAAGCAGCAACATATAAAAACCTGTTACATATACGTATAAAGACTTGTGTAGTTCACTGAATTCACTGCTTCCTTTGGATAGTCCATAAAATGGCTGAACTGCCCTGGTTGCTATCACCACCACTGCAAAGAAATTGAAGTCATTAACTTTCTCAACAATGAACCACTTCACATCAAACCACTCTGAATAAGTTCACATCTCAAATTTTGGAAAATCACAGGAATTTCCCTGTAAATGAGCACTAGATTTGACCAGTATAAATCATGAACTCAAACACGCAAAGGAATTGCCATTTGTGTTGATAAACAATCTGAAAGGATACCTTAAAAGTATCACACAAGGCAGAGTTGATAAAAGAAGGAACTGGATTTTCTAATAAACGCAGTCAAAGAAAATGATGAGCATTCAGAGTGAAGTGAGTGGGCTGCAGCTGGTTAGTCTCTTCAAGACTGCTCGTTTTGCTGGAAAAGTACCTGCAATGATGACTGAGTCAGTCCGTGCAGGTCCAAATTTCAGAGTCATCTCGTGCTTGTGCTTGTGGACAGCGAGGTGGTCCTCATTGGTAAACCTCTGCACAAGCAGACAAAAAGCGAAGAAATGAGAAAATCTGGTAATGGTAAGGGGGAGAGGAAAAAGCAGGGAGAAAAGTAGTGAAGCCGAGATTGTAAAAATAATGTAACAAATAACAGGGAGTGGACGAGAGAGGATTTGTCTTGGAAAACGGTTATGTGGGCCAAGAACATCTCCTTACTGAGCGATCAGCTTTCACTGAATCCACGCCACACCGAAGGTCCGCATCACTGGAAATGTAACGCATGTATTACGTGTCAGCACACACTGCACAACAAAGGCTCCTCACTGTAAATCGAACTCCCTGTCTCAGAACTGGTCTTTGGGCTCAGCTTACAGCCCTGGGCAGTGTGCCTTTACAGCGAGAGAACCAGTGAACTCGGCTTTCTATAGGATTCGACAAGAGCAGTTACATGGCTGTTACTTTTGATTTTGGGATTGTTCCACTGTGTTTGTTTATAACAAAAGTGAATGCCACGTGGAGAGGTTAATAACAATGTAGATGACAGACATGTGAACTGTTGATGGTGCGGTGGAGTCCAGAGTCAATGTTAGTGCTTTGCCCAACCACTTTAACTAAACAAAGCTATTATGCGTTTAGCACAAACCTGGCTTTATGAAGGAGTACGCCACTCCGGTACATCTTACTTGAGTCCAAGTGCCTTTTGGATTACATGCCATTGTGTGCACGACAATGTGATAGAGCAGATTAAGTTTTTGATGACAACTCAAAACTGAAGCATGAAAACCAAGCTGGTTTTCATGGTTTCATGTATAAAGTTTCTTTTCTTTTTGAGATTCCATTGTATTCCATTATTTACCTTGCGCACTGTTGCCAAAAAGCTATTGACAACATTGTAGAAGCATCACGTTCCGAGACAGGTAAACTACAATATGTTCCGCTGCTTTAACAGCATTGTATAACTGTCCTAGAGCAGTGGTTTTCAGTCCTAGTCCTGTGCCTCCCACCCACATTCATCTACTACACTTTATTTTAGGGCTGTAAGGTGATACCATCCTGATGAATCAGCAATAATTACTTGGAGTCTGCATGGTAATGATGCATACTTTAAATTCTCCAGCTGGTCTCCTTATGTAAGGTATTTGTATGCATTGTTTATGTTTTGAATTCTTTTTGAACAGCTTCTTTGTCTGTCAATGGAATGCTCTGAAATCTCTGAAAGGCTATGCACGATTAGCTATTGTTTGGTAACTGGCAGTTTTGAAAAAAAAAAACCCGATTACTTAATTTGTTGACAAAATAATGAACGTATTGGTTGATTACTGGATAGTAAAATAAACAACTGTGTTTTGTTTTGTCTGCTCAGCTCCAGAAAAACTTTACAATTAGCTTAGACACTGAATCAGGGGCGTCAGAGCATCGAAAACAATAAACCATGCAGTTCAGCAATAAACTGCAGAATGTTTTGCTCTTCCAAGATGGAACCTCTAGTACTTGCAACTAAGCCTTTGCCTGTCTGTCTGTGTCTCTCTCCGAGCGAGTTTCATGCCTGTTGGTGACTCAGGCAGAGCTGTAGGAGGATTCGTCAGGCTCTAGCCTTTGCAGTCTTCTTCAGACTATTTCTGGCACCGTGTCACAGTTACAGTCCAGTCGTGAGAGAACGAAGTGGAAACACAGTCAAGTGTCAAGAGCTTATTTTTAGATGTACCAGCATCACCAATACAACAACTGCATGGCCTTCTTCCCTCACACCAAGGTTACGGTGTAGCGTACTACATAGGTTTTGTCGCAAAGGACAAAGTGCAATGCATGAGGAATAATATTCTCTGCCACACAGCAGTAGACCTTCTAACAACTTCCTCTTTGTACAACATGAAACCATTTTTAAGAGTTTGTCCGTTTCTAAGAAATGGGTAGCATGACTTTTGGGAAACGGAACAAATGAGTTACTTTATCTGGTATAAATGGGCTGGTATTGTGTTACTAATACTGGCTGCTAGTCAGCCAGTCACAGTGAGGCAACCTGTGTCTAAAGATGAGCTGGTCTTGCAGCTCCCTCCATAGCTTACCATTACCATTAGTAGAAACATAGTGTGAGAATACCCTTTAGTAAGCCTTTAAGTCAACAAATTATTAACATGAAATCAAGACTTGTGAGTAAAACTCTAATCAAAGGTAACCAACAAACAGTACAATTAGCCAGCATCTGAAATTAGGGTGCCCACATTAATTCTGGTGTCAGTATCAAGGCAGCAAAATCTGTACTTAATTTTGATAATGACATTAGCTTCTAACTGTTGTTAGACACAACTACAGAACTCTACAACGCAATGTCAAATTAGGTTGCCGATTAGACGCTAATGCAAGCAGAATGAAGAGAAAGAGAGAAAACAAGCAAGACCACAAAACAAGACCTTTACTACTTAGAAATGGGAACAAAAACAGGGTTATGCACCTTTAACTGAAAACATTACAGTCCTCAGGATTACGAAAGTCCTAAAAGCCACAAGATATCAGCTAGTTCAACAATCACATTCTGAATTATTATGACAATGTATCTGAAGCTAATAATCATCGTTTAAAGGTAACCTAACAAATGGTATGATTAGCCAACATTTGAAATTCAAGGCATAGAGCTCATCGCAATGTGTGCTCAAGATCCTCTGGATCAGGACAGCGTTTACTTGCACTTGGGTTATCATATAATGGGAAACTCCCGATCTACATGAGCCAGGCAACAATTAGATGCAAAACTCATGGTCATGCCACATTTTAAAACATTGAGTCACTTTAGCAGAATATATGAATATATATCATCTAGAAGATGAAGAATATTCAAATTCTTTATTTCACCAAGCATGTAGTTGGTTTCAGCACCGCTGCAAAAATGTTTTGTTGCCATCTCACGAACACTGTGTTAAATGCTGCTTGATATTTCCAAGACAGTGGCCTGTTTTTGCAAATGTGCAGACTAAGAAAAACAACAAAAATCGAAGTAAGGGAATACGTGCACTGAAAAACCTGATAAAGAGCCAGATTTCTGCTGATTAATCAGATTTCTTAAGTGGATTTTTAGGCCTTAATCTGATCTAAGAAACCAGATTATGATTTCTGATTGAAAAATCAGATAACTCCCAAAATCCAATGATGATCGAATTTTTAAGTGCATGTAAACACATCTAGCGACATTAACTACTAACTGTGGCTAGCTACAAGTCAACGCTGACCAACGAACAACAAGCCTGGTGTTATCCCATGGATATAACATAAGTTAGCGTGTACAGAGAACACATTACATACAGTAAAAATAAACTCTACTTCCTGCAAGGAAAAAAGCTCCGGTGGCTGACAACAGCATTTTGCTTGCTAGCTGGTTTTGCCTACCACAGACTAGTTCAATTTGGAGACAGGCTTTACAAAGGGCCCTTGGCTGTGGCAGAATCCAGCACCAAAGTTTAACAAGTTGTCCCTATATAACATGTATACTTATTAAGAGATTACGTCTAGCCCTTTGAGGCTAGTCCAACTACAGAACAACTACTGCACTTACAAATCTGGTGCAAAATTTTGTAATCTCCAAAAGAAAACAGGATCAATTGTGGTTCCAGTTCAGATGCTAATGCACAAACAGTGAAGGGAAAAAGCAAAAACAACACAAAAGCTATTGCTGATGAAGTTGTCTACAACTTAGAAATGGAAACTAAATGAATGCTATCAACTTTTAATTGAAAAAGTTATGAGCAAGAATTATAATCATATAGGCCAGAATTGAATAAATGCCAGCTTCCTAATATCCACAAGATTTTGGCTATTACAACTAACAGTCCACTCCCGTTTTGCTGAGACATGCCTGAACGAAAACATTTCAAACCCCTGGGAACATACATGATGCAACACCTGCAGGTCTACAGCATACCAACACCACTACAACTTCTAATTCATTCTGAAAGCTTTCTCAAAAGCAGCTGCGTAAACAACACTACAATATATCCAGTTCTAGATCTGAACAGTGAGACCAACTTAATCATGGCTGCTGTGCTTGTGAGAAATGAAAAAACTGCAAACAACTGCCTTACATAAATTATTCATTTCATACTCATGTTATTCTTCTAAACGTTCATGCTTGTATTGTTTAAACAGACACAAACACATACCCACAGCATGCTTATATGATCAGCGCGACGTCCAGCAAACAGCGCCTGGTGTAGTTTAACTCTTCAGTGCCACTGGCCTTCACCTCTTTCACACATTCTTCTCTAAATAATCGTGTTAACAGAATATTCAAATCAAAACCTCAAAATGAACTCCTCCGTTCTCTTCTCGCCAAGTGCGATGGGCTGTCTTAGTCACTTCCGCTTTCAGTTTTCAATGCCCTCATGGCTGTGCACGCTGTCATGAGTTGTTTTTTTTTCCTTCAGCTTTCTTCCTCAACCCAGGCATATCACTGTTTGTGTGTAAATTACAGACCATGGCCGTGTGCCTGCACGTACACCGAGTCGACTGAAAGACATTTAGAAAACGAACCAAATGGTGATTACTAAACTTCCCAGCCTCTGAATCACAGATGTCAGGGCTGCTTCAAAAGAATGCTATCAACTCTATCAGCACAGCTCTGGCCTGCAATGTGACAAGAGAGTGCTTACAGAGTGGTGCAGAAGTGGCAGAGCTGGGCTGCCTGTGGCTAACACGGCCGCCAGAACCGCTCTGTGGCCACACGGTTCTGTGTAGCATCACTGTACAAACTCTGAACAACACAGGGACATACAGATATGGAATGCCTAAGCCAGTAATGTTAACCGATAACATCTTGTTGTGGCTGATGCCGGTTCCAGTAGTGATAAAATCCAAATTTTCCAATCTCATCATGTATCAGCAGATTTTTAAGTCTGAATTAACAAAGTTGCTGAGTACTGCATCTCTATGCTAAAAGAACGCCTTACAAACCTAACATAGCTTGTTTTGATTGGACTGTTTTCCTCATAAAACCACCAAAAGGAAGCTTACACAGTATATTAAACATTAACCAGATTACAGAAATGAAACATACTCTTTATTTAGTTTTTATGTATTTTGAACTGCTTTTACAAAAGAATCTGAAGTACCCAGAAAACGACACACCTTGCAGTTTTTGTTGCCCATCAATATCACTCAATCTAAAAATCACTGGTTTTGTGTGATGGATCATCAACTAATAATTTGACTATTTTGCATTTTTAAAATAAGTTCACACTATAACCCATATATAAACACAGAAAACATGGAGTTAACGTAAAGGTGGGTGATATACCAAATGTAAAAGATGATGATACTTCAAGAGATTTTCTGGACACATGATATGCATCACAATATTTAGCTTGGTTTGGCAAGGTAGAACGGACAGATATTTTTTAAAAAATATAATCAAAAAACCATGAATCACATACTGCACTAACTCCAAATAAAGCGTCCTAATTATGCTCTCTTTGTGATGAAACACGCAGTTGCTCAGTGTTTAAGTATTAGTGATATCTACGATATGCTCAGAAAAGTTTCCTGTGACATATTTTATCACAATAGCAATAGTCATACTGCCCACCCCATGATAAAACACTAAAGACGCTAGCCGCTATTGCTAGCAACCTCATATTACCATGCTATACTGAACCCATTGAATGAGGAGTTGTCAAATGACTAATTAGATTAGTGAAGTTCTAGTGCTGCACTTCACCTACACACTACACCACAAATGGCATCAGTACATCCAAAATTAGGAAGTTGTAATTCCAACACTGGACTAAATTTTTCCATTTGTTGAATAACACATCAGTCGTAGATATATCATGCATCCCCAGAACAACATGCAACTCTTCACACTACAACAGCCAGAGGCCTCTAGACAAGCTGGCTGAGAACACACGCACCTGAAACCTAAGATAGGCGGAGATGGAAAGAAGACTTACCTGCCCACAGCCAGGAGCGTTGCACACAAAAGGTTTGTCGTCCCCCATTTTTGCAAACAGCTTGCAATGTAACTGTGGAAGAGGAGAAGAGGAGAACATTGTTGAAGTGTTGAAGATGGTGTAGCCCTTTCACAAAGCCTCAAAAAGCCCTCTGGTAGCCCTCCAGTTGTTCCCAATAAAGCAGAGATGCTTCTCTGGTTGTAGGCTTAGTCAGTGCAGGAAGCGTGTTTAAAAATATCACAAGCAGAGAAGAAAACATACACACATTCATATAAACACACACACACACACACACACGCGCACACAGCGCAAGTAGAAGTTTCCCTAGTGATACTTCCTTCACACTGGGGGCACCTGGCTAGCCAATGAGGAAGAGTTTACAGATGAGATGGTAGCCAGGATTTGCACAAAACATGCCATCCCTCTTTCCCTTTACTCTGTGTGTATCTCTCCACCCCTTCTGCTTTGGCCCCACCTTTGTTTCTCATTGCGTTTTACCCTCCCTCTATCAGCACAAACATCCAACGTTTTACTAACCACACCTCAGTCCCACTTAAATTTGGGTTATCTCACAGAAATCATGGAAAAATGTGTGCTGAGACAAGCACATCCCTTCATTTAGATGAGTTAGACAGGCATATCTAGGACTACAACGTAGAAACCCTGCCAGTCAGACCACAAAGTGTGGTGAAAGTAGCCTGTATCTAAATAAGTTAAACAAGCTTTACAGAACGCCGACACATACCCATTCAACCTAATGAGAAATGATGGCAGGGACGTACACAGGTTTTTGGGTACTCAGTTAACTGTTAGAGGTGCCAGTATTTGAATACTAACTACTTTATTTCAGGTATTGAGTGAGTTTCATCAAGGGAAGACTGAAAATATACAGACTAACAATTCCATGAACCACTGATTTTGTCTTGCTTTTATTTGTGAGCAAGTCTGTTATTTTATGCTTTGCTACTCTGAAACATGAGTGCCTTAACATTGGCTCCTTGCCAAGATGTTTTTAAGGATGAGACCGAAAAGGCAGAGATAGCTGGGCTTCTATTGCTGGACAGGCTAGGCTGAAGTTGGGTCCAGGTTTTCCCTACAAATTAACATGTTGGCACATCATCCACTGAAGAGGAAAAACACCTGTAGAAGACAAAAGTCTCCCTCGGCATCCAGCGTTGCACAGGTTAGCTGTAGTTTTAGCTCGTTAGCTGATCCGAGGCAGTCTCCAGCACGAACACCTACCAATTTCCCTTGGCTGCTACTGAAGAATAAAACATGTTTTGACATGTATTCCAACCCTAAACCATAGCAGTCTTTGTTTAGAGTCGCAACATCATTGGGTTTTCAGTTTAAAGGAATAGTTCAGCGAAAAAAACATCACTTAGCCCAGATGTAAACAACCCGAAACATGTTTGGTGTCCAAATTTTGCTTCTTAAGTTTAGCACCGGAGCTATAAGGCTAACCTTGCTAACCTTGCTAACAAACTAAAGTCTACACTAGAAGACGAGTCACCCAAATCCTTTCCATAAACACATCCCCAAAACTTCTCTCAACCACTCTAACTGCATCCAGCTATTTAGTAAAGTAAGACTTGAAGATGTAGTTTAGGGTATTGTATGGCTGTGAACTATAAATATGAACAAACATTCACTTTGTAGCTGAATGCAGCGGCAGCTGCCCTCTCCAAAATCAGTCTCCGCCCGCAGAGTCAAGACTCCCATTCCCATGTGGAAATATGGCTGCTAGATTATGTTTGCAATTTTTGTTGTTTCTGTTTATAAAATATAAAAATATATCTTCATCTTAAAGATTAACAGTTGTTTATGAGTAGGCACAATAGCAATCGCAAACATGAGCTGTAATGTCCATATACATGCAAGATATGTCCACAACACCTGCTGTCTGAAATAGGTGCTCACAGTGTTAAGCTACAAAGTGAGGTTCTGTTCCTTATTATAGCTGAAAGTAATGCTGTTCTCTAAACCACACAAAAAAGTCTGTGTCCTTCACAAAAATCTATAGGCAGCTGGGAGCTGGTAGAGGAAAGTTTTGGGGGAATATTTTCACTTGAAGTCCAGTGTTTGTTAGCAATGTTATCTTTACACAAGAAGTAACTGATCAAAGAAAGACCAAATTTGGTGTCCAAATTTTGCTTCTTTAGTGTAGCGCTGGAGTAGCTCAAGCCCTACACTAAAGAAGCAAAATTTGGACACCAAATTTGGTCTTTCTTTGATCAGTTACTTCTTGTGTAAGTATAACATTGTGTATTTTTTTTCCACCAAGCTGGACTATGTTGTTGTAGCTAAACAAAACCACAACCAATGAGCTACAGTGCTAATGTTTGTTTGATTGCGTCACAAAACAACACTAAATCTATCCTAACAGTGGGACCTTTCATACACAGCACTGGCATCATTTCAAATGAATAACACCTTAAGATTAGCTATTTTGACAATACTGTGTTGTGTGCTACAATTTCGTAGAATGCAAAGCTTCTATAAACCCTTAGTAAAACTTGGATTTGTGGGCTTAGACAGGTCAATTTCAAGGTAATAGGTTTATTTATGACACTCAAACAACAAGAGTTTGCTCTCTCAGAGTGTCCTGGTCTGTCAGTAGAATAAGCCAAAATCTTTTGCCAGAGGAGGTAGCGTTATGGCTTTGATCAACAACAAAATCAAATAAAGAAAAGTACAAGAAAAATAAGACTTGAGCTGAAATGAACCCATCAATGATAAGTGAACTCAACAGGCAATGAGTACAATGTAATGAGAGTATGTGATATAATGTAAGATGGACAGCATAATAATGCTAATCTTGGAGAGACATTTCTGCAATGAGCTGCTGTGATCCAAGAGAATGACTTGCATGTGCATTGGCTGCCCATTCCCAAAACCCCTCCTTCTCCTTTTAGTCTAACAAGCAACATGAGCTACTCGCCCACAATTTCCACTCAGACAAAACAAGTTTCCAGGCACTCTTACTGAGCTATTATACTGAAATATGCTCACAGACCAACACATGCACAGTTCTTCTGAAATGCATCTACAGAGTCCAGCTGTTACCACTATATATATATGTGTGGGTATGTATATTATATATATATATATATATATATATATAATAATATATATATATATACGCAAATAACTATATATAAGTAAATGACTAAAAATTAAAAAATGACTAAAAAAGACTTAACTGAACAATAACAAAAGATGTTTAGCTTTTCAAAGATTCCAAAATATTTTATGGGAAAGAGATTAACCTTACAAGCCACACTTCTGTCTGTTGTCGGATTCTACTGCGTTCTGTCCCTTAATTTGGCAAAGAACTGCCTACTTTGACAGGAAAGAGCCGTTTGACTGACATGCAGAATAACCAATCAGAGCCTGTTATTTTGCCTTGACATGTAGGGGCAGGTGATTTTCAAACAAACAAAACAAATCAGTGCCCAACAAACTGGTGTGTCTGCAAACATGCCATATACACAACAATGTCTTGCTTAAAATCTACCAAACGTTTCAAAGAAAGCAGCTGAATAACTTTTAAAGATGTGATGCCGTGAACCCCCCAAACTTTTAGAAATCCATAGACTACAGTGCTCCGAAAGGCTCAGTCACAAAGTACAGAGGTGCAAAGAGCAAAAGTTTGTTTCCCTTCAGGCCAATAAAACCCACTGCACAAAAATGCATACATACAACGATGTGGACAGCCAATCAGAATGCAGCTGGCAAAACCCCAACAGTTGTGGCCAGCTTAACCTACAATAGATATCAGAAGCTCTGTGTTCATGTGGGCATAACATCTGAGGCTGAGACTAGGAAAAAATGAACAGAACTATCAGGATGTTTCTTACTGACAGAGACCAGTAGGAGAATTTAAAAGATGCATTACCATCATACAAACTCCCAACGAATCATCACCTTTTAATTTAAAAAATACATTTTAATCTATCATTTTTTGTCATCAAGTAATCAAGCTTAACTCTCTGCCAGTTGCCCTCCTCTTCACTTGACCTTGTTCCACCTCACACTCACTGAACATGCGAGGAGAGATTGGGAATTTCAGAAAAATATCATTAAATTTGAATAGGGGCAAGGTGGGGAAGAGAACATTAATGTTTCATGATACCCCACCAGCTCAGAATGACGTCTGGCGAGTGTTACACAACTTCCACTACAAATAAAATACAGCACCTATCCTCAGCAATAGCAGCTACTAGGGGCGTGCAATTTGATATGTTATAGTTGTGATAAACTGCATCACAACATGTTCTTCCATTGTGTCCTGGGTATCATCTGAACTTTCAGAACACCGAACAACTGCGTCACAAATACATCGTAAAAAGACCAAGTATACAGAGCCTGTAATCAACGACAACAAGTGCAGAGCAACTTCATAAACTGTATAGTACAAAGAAGAGGACTGGATGTGAGTCAACTACACAATCATCCTCGTTCGATTTTTCTTCCTGTTCCTTCTGGAATTGTTTATTTTTACAGGCATTGAATTAAAGTCATTGTACTCTGATGTCATGGCCTTTTTTTTATGTAGCATGAAGTCCATTCCAACCTGTTTGTAAATATTTATCATTAGAGATGCATTTAGAAAATGTGGAAACAGGGACTAGACCCAATTGGATCACCATTACAGAAAAAAATAACATTTATTTGTACGAATGTAGTGAAATTAATAAAAGGCAGATATTTTGGCACAATAGTCCACCATAGTCTTAAATGTTCTGCTCTTCTGGAATACAAAAAATACATCATCTGATGCTGATACTTTATCTGCCCACATTGATTTGATCTCCCAAATATTGTCATCAAGTATCGTGATAAATATTGTGTTAAATTTCTGCCATATCGCCCACCATCAACAGCTACTCTCTTCTCTCTAGGTGAGAAAAAAAGAAGCTTCCACTAATCCACTAGTACTGCAGATATATGCTTTCCACTCTCAGCTCTAGGCTACTGACTGAACCACAAGGGTGCAAACATCATGAGAACTAATAAACAATAATTTTCCATGTGCCCAAACTTTCACAACTTTCTCTAAACGCCTTCCCCCACCATAATGACCGTTGCTCATAACCCCATATGGCCAGTGACAGCTTGCTGCAGAGTGGCGTGCAGTCCAAGTCGAAATTACCAGTCACGGCAAAGATGCCAGGTTCTGTTTTCCATAAAGAAAATAACTGCATCTTGTTTGCCCCCGAAAGGCCCTTTCCTTCCAGCTGAGATCAAAGTGACAACACAAGCCAAGCAGTTTGATTCCTAGCAGACCTCACAAGCTCAACAACCAAGCCAACAGTTTGGTGCCAGGGCCTTCAAGATGGATGCAATCCACAAAACCAATTTGGACAGAGATGTGCAAGAAGTTAATTTACAAATGAGCAACACCACCCACTCATTATACCCTGGGTGAAGAGGCTCATCCAAGAAAGCTTCAAGCTGGGGACAAAAACTGACACCACTCACCATGTACCAACAAATTACCATAGAGCGTTAGGCTAAATGTTTCATAATGGATACTGCAGAGCAATCTGCCACAAAGCTAAATTGTTATTAGAAGTGAGCAATATGACAATATCTTTTTGTTCTTGTGATAAATTATGTATAGCAGTCATCAGTCTTCTGGAACACCTTGAAAAAAAGAACAATTATAGAGAACCTGTAAACAACAACAACAAAAACAAGTACACAGTAACTGCATAAACTTCATATTACAAAGTAGCTGATTGGATGTCAGACTATTGCACTATAAACTTATTTTATTCATTTATTTTTAACCCATTATAAGATTTCTCCTTTGTTCCTTTCTTAAGTAGGTTATTTTTGCAAGGCATGAATAAAAAATAATTATTGCATGCATCATTTCTTTAGTGTTTTTGTCTCAAGTATTGCGATGTTACGTTTTTGCCAAATTGCTCACCCTTACATGTCCTTACATAGTAGAAGTTGTCTGTTTGCTAAAAACTAGCCAACAAATCCACACTTAGAGCCCTCAACATTCAAACAACATACTCTGGCCGATGGTGAGTAGCTTAAGAGGCTACTAAACAAGCAGGAAATGTAGACAATTAAGTCAAAACAGTTAGGACTGGAACTAAATTTACACCTCAAAAGATGATGCATCCATTTCAGCCGTGCTATTGAAGTAAAGCTGAACAGCTGTGTTTGTGTCCATCATTAACATTTTGACACTGGGCATTAGCAAGGGCTATTTGGCTTTAAGTTTTGCAAGTCTGGTGTTGGTGTTAAGCAGCCCAATCGTTTCAGCAGCACAGATCTACAGTTAAACAATTCTTGATTAAATGTGAATGTTTTGGCTCCGAACTGATATCACAATCCTCACTAATGATTCATCAACACACCAGTTTTGTCAAGTACAATATGGACATCTATAATTTTCACCAAAAACAAAGTAAGTAAATAAAATAAAGAAAATGAATCAGTGTGAAAGATATGTAAATCTAGTTATCAAGGAAGTAAGCATTTATTTATTTATTTATAATAAACACAAATATTGCAATAAACACAAATTAAAAACTTATTGTGATTTTATGTTTACGAGAGTTAATCATTTCCAAAGCTTTCCTCGAGGAGGTCTATTATTTAGAGTTACCATCTAGTGTCTATTTACCTAATCAATGCTTCATTATATTAAATCAGGTTTACTGTTGACAGAATTTGACAAATTCAAAGTAACGCCCTGAAGTGAACTGGGAACGATTTCTCGAACAAAACACATGTTCTTCAAACTGTGTTCTTCTATCCAAGACATAAATCTTTTTAAAAGCAAAACCACAGTACGTTTTAGTGTCGTTATTTTGTGAATAATTCTAATGTTAGGCAACATAAAGAACCTTAAACTTAAAGAACCTTAAACTTTAAACAATTAAATATATTTGCTTTAATATATACTAATTTGCTTAAACTTTAATACTTAAAAAAAAGTGCAAAATCTCGAACATTTCTACTTCATCTTACTTTACATTTGAAAAATTCCAAAACTTTGCATGGCCTCTTTCCAGTTTTTAAAGTGGTCTAGGGCTTTGTAGGATTGAGGGTTTCTTGAGGCAGAATTTATCAAGAAA